ACAGCCTACTTTTCTTTTCTTTCTTTCCTTTTTTTTAAGCAAAAAAAAAAGGTAAAATTTAATAACATACATGTGGACATGGGCTGGAGTGACAGCACAGCAGTAGGGCGTTTGCCTTGCACACAGCCAACATGGCCGACCCGAGTTTGATTCCTCCGCCCCTCTCGGAGAGCCCGGCAAGCTACCGAGAGGATCTCGCCCACACGGCAGAGCCTGGCAAGCTCCCTGTGACATATTCGATATGCCAAACACAGTAACAACAAAAGTTTCCAATGGAGACATTACTGGGCCCGCTCGAGCAAATCGATGAGCAACAGGAGGACAGTGACAGTGACAGTGACATGTGGACATGTAAATTTTATAACATATGTCCAAGTAAATTCAAATGAGTTTGCAATCAACTGGGAGCTTGTGTCCTGCGCTACGGAATTGGATAGTAGCTTGAACTGTCATCAAGAGAGGTGAAGACTCACATAAGCAGGAGAGGCAGCTCTGTGTGACAAAACCTTGCTTCTAGATGTTCACTCTGCCTTAATATAAAAGTATCTAATAAAATATTTCTGGAGGGGCTGGCGCAATAGCACAGCGGGTAGGGCCTTTACATGGCCGACCCACGTCTGATTTGCCAGCATCCAGCATCCCATATGGTCCCCTGAGCACCACCAGAAGTAATTCCTGAGTGCAGAGCCAGGAGTAACCCCTGTGCATCGCTGGTGTGACCCAAAAAGCAATATATATATATATATATATATATATATATATATATATCACAATCACAACCATCCTGTTATTCGTCGATTGCCTCAAGCAGGCCCCAGTAACGTCTCCTTCATCCTAGCCCTGAGATTTTTTTAAAAAGTGCCATATTCAAGGCTCTTTCAGAGTTAGGAGAATGAGACCCCTCATTGTTACTAGTATTTGGCATATTGGGTACGCCACGGGGAGTTTGCCAGACTCTGCTGTGTGGGAATATATATATATATATATATATATATATATATATATATATATATATCCGCCCCTGTGCCTGGCTGTCCTCACTGGGGCCCCTTGGGGGGGGGGGGTTGAGTTTCCCTCCCCACCCCAAGCAGAGCCACGGCAGCCGAAAACCTCCGGAACCAGCCATAGCCATACTGAGACCTCTCCACATGTTCGGACAAGCCTCATGCATGAAGGAACCGGCAGAGGAACCCAGGCATGCGGGTCTCGGGGCCTAAGATGTTCAAGCCTGCTTGGATCGGGACTGGGCCTCCTCCACCCAGATCCCCCATCTTCCAGTAGGTAGGTGTCACACCCATCAACTGCCCCCGCCTTTTGTGGTCCCATCAACGGCCAAGACCCAGAGACTATAAAACCCAGCTACCGGAAGTGCACGGCCACATTTGTGGCCACGTGACATCTTATTCTCTAGTTCTTACTCTGGAGAACCTGGCAGGCTACCGAAAGTATCCTGCCTACACGGCAGAGTCTGGCAAACTTCCCGTGGCGTACTCAATATGCCAAAAACCAGTAACAATGATGGGTCTCATTCTCCTGACCCTGAAAGAGCCTTGAATATGGTGTTTTCTAAAATCTCAGGGCTAGGACAAAGGAGACGCTACTGGTGCCTGCTTGAGGAAATCGATAAACAACAGGATAATCATGATATATATATATATATATATATATATATATATATATATATATATTGGGCTGGAGCGATAACACAGTGGTAGGGCGCTTGCCTTGTGTGCGGCCGGTGTGGGCAAGCCAGGTTTGATTCCTCCATCCCTCTGGGAGAGCCTGGCAAGCTATTGAGAGTATCTCACCTGCACAGCAAAGCCTGGCAAGCTACCCATGATGTATTCAATATGCCAAACGCAGTAACAAGAAGTCTCACAATGGAGACGTTACTGGGTCCGCTCAAGCAAATTGATGAATAACGGGAACAGCAGTGCTACAGTGCTATATATTTTGTATATATAAAATATATATATATATATTTCTAAAAATGTCTCTAAAGTTAGATAATCTGTGTTCTTTAAGGTTATGGTAACAGTTTCTCCTGAGGTTCAGAAGGATTTGATCTACCTAAATTCTGCCTATCAAGGCAACACATACGGGGAAAAGTCAGCCACTTACTTTTCTTGTCTGTTTTTGTTTATTGTTGGTTTGGAGGCCATATCTGACTGTGCTCAGAGATTACTCCTCGCTCTGTGCTCAGGGTTCAACTACTGATAGTGATCAGGGGATCCTGTGTCAGAACAAGGATCGAACCCGGGATGACTGCATGCAAGGCATGAAAGACCTTTTCTGTATTCTCTCTCCAGTCTCCAAGACCACGTTCTTATAGAAACACCAAGTCATTAGAGATGAAACTGGCAAATGCCCTTGAACGTTTCCAGATCCTAACCTTGGGATGATCTCTTATTCTGGAGAGCCAGTCACCTGCGCTGCTGATGTCACTGTAACAGCATCCGAGCATCATTCACGGCATTGCAGACTGTCTGGGTACCACGCGAGGCTCAGGGAAGACTAAAGCACTAACAAGTCTGTTTGCTTTTTCTGGGGGAGATGTGTACTGGGAGTTGAAATACCTCCGTATGGGGCAGGTTATATCTCCTGCCACCAACTCAAAGGGCTGAGTGCATGTTGGGTAAGAGAAGGAATGATTTGTTTGAGGGGGGAAATGCCTGCATTCCAACCGTGGAACTTCTGAATGAGCTGTGTGAAACTGAAAAAAGTAAATAAATAAACCAGAGAACAGTTGCTCCTGGACAGTCTTGGCCCCCTCCCATCTTTCCCACTTACCCCTCAGGCATTTCACCCAACAAAGAAAGCTGTGGCTCCCCCCCCCTCCCCTCCCACCCCCCCCCCCAACCCCCACCGCTCAGATCCTAGGGTCATTTACACCTCAAGCACATCCCAACCCAACTATCTGAGAAACTTTATCTGCAGCGATGCAAAGGCCACAGCCCTGTTTACCCAGAGGTCCCGGAGTCAGACAAACACCCGCGTTCTCAGGCTCATGCACATGTGAGCAAACGCGAACTTTCCCACACACCCCCATTTCTTAGATGATCAGTAAAGTTGCCCTGAGAAGTCATGTATTTCCTCCTCTCCTTTCTTCCCTCCCAGCAGATGGTTCCTGGGACCCACAGAACCAGCTGCTCAGCAGTTCGGCATGTGTGAAAGAGAAGGACCCCCAGCAGGGAACCAAAACAATCTCTGGGCTTATATTTATTTTTCTGTCGTAAAATAAATTAAAAAAAATTTTTTTTCAGTTTTGCTCTCATTCGTAAAATATAGCTTAGGATAATTTTTTGCTGTTGTTCTGGGGGCCTCATCTGGCATACTCAGGGGCTGCCAGGGTCCCATCTCACAATGCCAGGGGTAGAGGTTAACACACACTGCTGGGGGTCAAGGCCAAGGCCTGCACGTGCTGAGCTACATCCCCATGCCCCTAACACACAGTTTTCCTGGAGAAGCACCGGCTACTGGGTTTAAATGGGACCACCCAGGCCTGAGCGACAGTACAGCAGGCAGGGTGCTTGCCTTGTACACAGTCGACCCTGGTTGATCCCTAGAACCCCAAACGGTCTCCCAAACCTTGCGAAGAAGTTATCCCTGAGTGCAAAGCCAGGAGTAAGTACTGAGCACGGCTGGGTGTGGCCCAAACATGCATCCCGTTCCCATTCTCTTCACCTCAACAAATGAAAGTGACAGGAGCCTGGAGCAATAGCACAGAGGGTAGGGCACTTGCCTTATATGTGGCCAACCTGGGTTTGATCCCCAGCATCCCACATGATCCTCTGTGCCCTACTAGGAGTGACCCTTGAGCATTGAGTCAGGAGTCAGCCCTGAGCACAGAGCCAGGAGTGAGCCGTGAGAACAGAGGTAGGAGTCAGCCCTGAGCACTGCCAGGTGTGGCCCAAACCACCAACACCCCCTATCCCCTGCCTCTAAAACAAAACAAAATAAAAGTTGACAATTTAATGATTTCCCTCTTCTGCAAAATACTTCTCAATGGTCTGCCACTGTGTTTACAGCTGAGTCTCAGCCCCCTGTCACCCCCTCTCACTTCTTTCTCTCCTGAAGGACCTTGAGCCGCACACATGCTGCTCCCTTGGGGGCTAAGGAGGGGTCTCATCCTGCCTCAGCGTAGCCCCATCCCCAGGAGTGTCTCGACCCCAGGCCCCTCGCTGAGGCCCCTCCTGTCAGACTCCTGCCTCACACTCATCCATGGGGAGGGCGTGGGCCAGGGCGATACTGTCCCCTGTGTCCTAGGACTTCGGACTATTTCTGATCCAAGCTGGTTGCCGACTCTTACTGTTACTGACTTGGCTCATGACCAGATCGAACCATCCCATCCTCACCGCAACAGTCCAAGGAATGGGCTCTTATTCTGGGAGAGGGTGTAAGGGACAAGAATGTGAGCACTGTGGCAGGAGCCCCAGGTCAGGCCAAAGCATTCCTTCTGCAGTCAACGCTGTCCCACTTAGCACAAGCGGACCCCACAATTAGGCAGATGACCTGATGCAGTGCGAGCGGAAGTCTGAAGCTGGGCACGTTTCTGGGTAGAAAGCAAATGTCCTGCAGTGAGGCGACCTTCCCAGGACCCATCCCATGCCAGTGGCCAGGGGACTTCAGTGTACTCCTCACTGGCCAGGACGTGGGCTCCTGGGAACACAGAAGGGGGGTGGGGCGGGTGAGCCCTGCAGACCTCATGCCACTATGGGAGCTCAGAGTCCCAGCAGAGGGTCCTGCTGGCCTGGAGGCCCGCCAGCCCTTGATCTTGAGCAAGTGCTAAGAGGCGGGGGGCGGGGGGGGGGGGGGAAGATGCTCACCAGCCCAGAAGAGAGGCAGCCGGTCCAGCCAAAGGCCAGGGTTGGATGAGGAATAGCTCCTGGCTGGCCGCACAGGGGGCCCGAAGGATGAGTAGCCCCGAGCCAGCCCCCGGCCCGATCACTCGGCAAGCTACTCTGCCAACCCTCTCCCTCCTATCTAATCGCGAAGTTCACCTTCTTCACAAACTCGGGGATAAGTTTTTGGTCGGTCAGGTGGTCCAAGGAGGAACAGCAATCTAATTCCAAGACGTAGCCGTCATTGTGAAGATCGGGCTTCTGAGATCTGAAGAGAGAACAGAACACACGCCAAGGTCGAGACTTTGCAGGAGATGAAAAAAAAAGAAAATCATTGGGTGTTTAATGAAATTCCAAATTCTTTCCTGAAAGCAAGGGCCAGAAGGCACTGCTGAAAAATAACTTAATGGTAAACAACTCAAATACTATCTTGAGACCTCCATCATGAAAGGATCTCCAAGAGGTGTCATTAACTGAAACACATCATTACGGAACATGGGTACAATGTGTACAATATGGTTAGATTCTCCCCCACACCACTCTCTCCTGTCCTCACCCCCCACCAGGGGAGGCATATCCCTCCCTGGTTTCCATCTGCCAGGGTGGAAGAAAAGGATTAGGAGGACAGCACCCCCTTACAGCAGCTCTTGGGGTGAGCAGGGCTGCCTAGGAACGGGGACAGGAGGAAGAAGAGTGACCTTAAGTATCCACGTACCACTTCAAATATTAAAATTTGACTTTTACAAAACTTTAGGTTTTTCACGTTTTTATTGGGGGATGCCCAGCCAGTGCTGTAGGAGACACCCAGAAACCCCCCTCCCCATGACCTGGTGTACCATGCCTAATTGTACAGGGATCAGCAATGTGGTAGGTTTTGGGGGTCACCAGAATCAGGTCCAGTCAGGGGGCCACAAAATGCTGGGGAAAAATTAGGGTTCTGGCTAGGAATGGCTCCTGAGTGCTGAGTGATCTCCTCAGCCCCTAAAAAGGCATGAGAAGTGTCCAGCCCATGCAGAGGGGAATCTGGGGGAAAAAAACCTATGAAAATGAAAGCTGCCTCAAAAAGACTCTAAGGCCAATTGGAGCAGAGGTTGGTGGGGGGTGGGGAGGCAGAGAGGCTTGTCTGTGGTAAACACCTTCAGGCTTCTGAGGTAAGCGGTCACCAGCAGACACTCTCTCACTTCCCATCACTCCTCTGAAGAGCTTGACATAATACAAATGTGGGGCTGAGGAACTTTTGGAAGCACAAAACTGTTGGGGTTTAAGGTGATTTCTGGGGCTGGTGGAAGGGAACAGGAAGTAGTGCTGCAGCTCAGTGAACAGGACATGCTCTCTCTTTTTTTATTTAATTTTTTAAAAAAATTTTGGGTCACACCCAGCAATGCACAGGGGTTACTCCTGGATCTGCACTCAGGAATTACTACTGGCGGTGCTCAGGGGACCATATAGGATGCTGGGAATGGAACCCGGGTTGGCCACGTGCAAGGCAAACGCCCTACCTGCTGTGCTATTGCTCCAGCACCCCCCCTTTTTTTCAATAGAACCATGGTGAATTGAATACAGTAACAAGGCTTTCATGTTTGAGTTTAGTCATAAAATGACTGAACACTCATCCCTCCACCAGTGCACATTCTCCACCACCAATGTCCTCAGTATCCCCCCCTTCACCCCTACCCTGCCTCTATGGCAGACAATTTCCCCCACACTCTCTCTACTTTTGGGCATTATAGTTTTCAATACAGATACTGAGAGTTTATCATGTTTGGTCCTTTATCTACTTTCAACACACATCTCCCATCCCAAACGATCCCTCCAACCATCATTGACCTAGCGATCCCTTCTCTCTCCCAGCTGCCTTCTACCCCAGCTCCTGAGGCAGGCTTCCAACTATGGGGCAATATTCCTGGCTCTTGTGTCTACTGTCCTTGGGCGTCAGCCTCCTATTATGTTAGTTTATATTCCACAAATGAGTGCAGTCTTTCTAGTCTGACCCTCTCTTTCTGACTCAGTTCACTCAGACAGGCTCTCTCATGAGGAGCCAGTCAGGACAAGGAAGGCTCGAGGGCTCTGTCCAGGGCTCCACCCTAAGACAGCTGCTCTCCAGAGGGGAGTGGGAGTGGGGTCCTCTCTGCCTGTTCCTGAGGATCGTTACCTTGGGGGGCAGGGGGTGGCTGACTGACCCCAGGAGAGCTGATGTGTCCAGAACATTCTTCCCTCCGCCCTTTCCCTTCCTGCTGCTATGATGACAGGGCGGGGCATGCACACCTGGATGTGATGCTCCCACACATCCAGGCTGCAGTGCCTGTCAGAGGTCACTCAGGAGTGCACAGAGCTGGCGCCAAGCCTCGCCGTATACAGCAGCTGCGAAGCTCCCTCACACCCAGCTCACACTGTGCTTCAGCACAGAGCGCTGAGGCTCCCAAACAACCAAGGATAGGGGTCCCACTCATGGCCTCGTACCTGCAAGGCAGGCGCCCTTGTCAAGGAGACCCCTGAAGACCCCAGAACGCAGTTTTGTAAAAATCTGGGGGCCATCTATGGTGATGCTTGGGAGTCAAACCTGAGGCTCCCACAGGCAGAGTAGCACTGCACTGTAGCACTGTCCTCCCGTTGTTCATCAATTTGCTTGTGCGGGCCCAGTAACGTCTCCATCGTGAGACTTGTTGTTACTGTGTTTGGCATATCGAATACGTCATGGGTAGCTTGCCAGGCTTTGCCGTGCGGGCAAGATACTCTCGGTAGCTTGCTGGGCTCTCCGAGAGGGGCGAAGGAATCGAACCCGGCTCAGCCGGGCTGGCTGCACTCAAGGCAAACGCCCTACAACTGTACTATCGCTCCAGCCCTAGAGAATGTTATAGCAGAGTAGGTGCTCTTGTTCTCTTAGCCATCTCGCTCTCTCACCTCTCCGTGGAAAATTCTGAAAGCGGGCATTTCACCAGGAGCACTCAGACACAACTATCTCATCAAAGAAGAAGTTTCCAAATGTCTACTTGCAGTCGTATTTTTAAAAAAGAATTTCTAAAACTCCTATGTTATTGCAGGTTATTTATAGGGGTCCGAAGAGATATGACTGGGGTTATTGCACTTGCCTGGATCCCAATGGCCCCAGTTCAATCCCTGATACCGCAGAGGGTTCCCCCGAGCACCACCGGAGGTCACTCTAGAGCACTGAGACTGGAATAGTCCTTGAACATTGCTAGGTTCATCCCATCCCCCCAGTCCCCTTACCCCAAGCCATTTATGTGCCCATTAACTTTCTGGGAATGATTTACCTGAAATCCAAAAGTGAACGAAGTAAAGTAGATTGGGTACTCCCCAGGCACCCAGCTGTGATCAGGGAATCAAATGTTAATAGCATCTTTTGACTTTAATTTTCCTTCTGACATATCCTTTTAGCAGGAGGGAAGGTAGCACACACTTTTGAAGGGCAAAACAACAAGCTGACTCCAAACTGTTTACACTCTAAGCACACCCATTCCAAACAAATAAACCAAGTCTGCACTCCAGCTAGGAAGACCAGACTCCTGTCTGTCCTCAGGTACTTCCTGGCCTCATGGAAGGGAGTGTTTAGAGTAATGAGAGCAGTAAAAGCTCAGATTTTTTTAAAGAGAAGATTTAGCGAAAAATATGGTCCCTGTGTATTGTGTGAGACTGCAAGCCAAGCCAGGCATGGGAGGGAGAATTCTGAGGGGGTGAATTCGACATGATGAGCTTTAGCTGAATTGGTGAGATTTACTTAAACTCACCCACTTACATTTTAAAGAATTCAATTGAAAAACAATAATCATTTTAAATAAGTTACCCCCTCAGCATCCTGCCCAGGAGATAAGTGGAGGGATAAGAGAGGAATTTCCAGTCCCGAGTCACAAGGAATGACTGTTGCACAAGTTTAATAATGATTACTTTGGGTTCTGGAATAAGTTCTGGAAGGGAGGCATTCTGGCTAATTGCATTTGGACATTAGCTCTCAGTCACAGCTGAGCTGAAGGAAGTACAAAAGCTCAACAAAAATGGGCATAATTACAACTTTTCTAGGGAAACCATGAAGAAAACAATCTCTGCCCGCGAGCCTGTGATCTCTTGAAAAACGCAAACGAAGGTCCTGATGCACACTGTGGGAATAGATGAGACCTTCCTGCACATTTAGGCAGATAATCAAAAACTGAAAGGATTTAACACTGACAGGTCAAGGGAGGGGATGAAGACCCTCGGAGGACTAAAGCCATTGAGCTATAGCTGGATGGAAGATACAGTCCCATGGAACCCTTTCTCCCCAACACTAACCCTAAGCAAAACAAGAACAGCACCAAAAAACAGCAAGCCAGGGGGTTTGAGCACTGATGGGGACTATCCTGAGCACTGGTGGGAACAGGGAAGTGGACACACCCTCAGGTGATGCTCCCTCCCCTCCCTAACAATCTCCACCTCCTAGAATTCTTCCTTTGTGCTTACCCTCCCCTTACATGGGGACAGGGCCTATATAGGCTTCTGACCAACACAATGTGGCAGAGGAGGTAAAATCTCATTCTTAAATTTCACTCAGGATTTCAAGATTCTCTCAGCGACTGGCGTTAGAAATGGCCCCCGTGGGTTGTGAAGAACTAAGGTTACGTTAAGAGAGAAGCCCATGGCAGGGGCAATGGTGGGCAACCCTGGCCAACAGCCGACAAGAAACAGGGATCTCAGTTCTACAGCTCCGAGGAGATCAATGTGCCAACAAGTCAGGGAGCGTGGAAGCGGGTCTTTGCCTGGATGAGCTTCTGATGTGACCACAGCCCAGCTCTGTTACAGCCTGACAAGACCCCAGCAAGAGAACTCAGAAAAGGGACAGAAATTGCTTGTGCTGCGAGTCACTGTGTCTGTGATGATTTCTCATAGAGCTCAGAAAAGTGATAGAACTGCTGAGGAAGACGGCCTTCCAGCTTCATCTCAGAAACAGCACCCCCATCCTGGGGGAGGGCCTGTCCCACAAGATGCAGACACCTGAGGCAGTGTCTATCAGAAGATTGAGTGTCCTGTGTCCTTGAAAGCAGGGAGAACTGCTGGCCTTCCGCGGGACCATGACATGAGGGAATAGGTGCTTTGCAATTTATCAAGTTCCTCAGGAAGAAGCATTGTCCTGAAACTCTGCTAAACTCTCAGGCACTTGCTGTCCCTGTGTGTGGGCATATATGTGCACATGTGTATGTGTGTGCATGTGTGTTCCCACACATGGGTGTTTGTGAGAGTGTGTTGGGGTTAGAGGAACATCACAAGACAAATTCAGGA